CTGCCTTCTGTGGCTGCTTATACTGGTCCCATACTGGGGAACCCAGCCAGAGCCTGGTCCGGCTTCCTAACCATGTTAATTTTAATCTGGTTCATCGTGCTGTTCTGCAGACACCCATGTGCTGGCAAAGCCACTGCTGGCGGGCATCACGGTGGCCTGGTACTTGCATGGCTGTGCTGGTGGCTGCGCTGGCGGGGCCGGCAGCCCCGTGCCTGCAGAAAGCCCCGGCAGTGGGGTGGTTTGCAGCTGATAAAGCTTCCTGCAGCCAGCTCCCAGTCCGGGGGTGGTCTGGAGTGGGGCCTTTGCCAAGTGAAATTTGGCATTGCCGTAAAAAAAAAAAAAAAAAAAAAACAACAAACCCAAACCTCATCCGGAGTCTCCCTTAGAAAGAGCATGTTAAAAATGGCAAAATTGTTGCATTTGAAGATTCGCAGCTTGTTCTGGAAACTTGCCGTGAGCGCGCCGGCAGGCTGCTACCGAATTTTTGGTTGATTTTTTTTGTTTGTTTTAAAGATACAAAACCTCCTCTGTAACCGTTCTCGCAGCACTAAACTCAGACACAAATATAGCAGCTATGTCACGTGACGGAAAACTTGCTCTCAGTGGTCCCGGCAATGACGCGGTGGTTCCTCGGGCCGGCGCGGCGCTGCCTGCCCGTGGCCATCCCTGCCTGCGCTGCCCCTGCCTTTAAGCAGAGCCCGGAGACCTCCACCACCACGATAGTTTTGCACCCCTAGTGCAGGGTGAGATGGAAGCAGCCGGGACGGCTCCCGGGGAGGTGGGACGCCATCGAGACCACCCCCACCCCCTCATTTCAGGAGCGTACTCATGGCTCAAAGGGTTGCGCGCAGCTTGCCATAAAATGCAGAAGTGTGTTAATCTGGCTGCCGGCTGGCCAGCTCGCTGCTCCAGTGCCTTATCTGCCTTTGCATACCAACAACCGATTGAGAACGGGTTTGCTTGCTCTGGAGGTGAGCCAGCGCAGAAATTTGGTGTGTGTTCATCAAGACTTGGTTTGTTTGTGGTTTTTTTTTTTTCTTTCCAGAGGGACAGTTTGAATTTCACTGTCCTTTTCCTTTATTTTTCTGGTTTGCAGCGCTGGGCTCCCACGCTCTCTCATCCCTTATGTCTAGTCCGGCTTTTCCTATCCCATGTGGTACCTGGAGGGGAGAGGTCCATGGGAGCCGAACCCTGTGTTGGTGCCCTGGCAGGAAGCAGCAGATTTGCAAACCCCATGTGATTAATTGCCACGTTTGCTGACAAATCCCTCCAGGGATTTGTCATCTCCTTGAGGAGGTGCGCTTCTTATGCAGCAGAGAGCATTTCTGCTTTAGATGTTGATGTCAGCAAAGTTCAGCTGCTGGAGCCTGAACTGTTTCCGTAGACTATGGGAATTAAAATGAACCATCTCCCTTTCCTCTGAGGACTTCCTTGATGTCGTGAGCCCCTTCCCTGCCGAGCTCTGTCATTTTTGTAAGAGCTCAGGAGCAGGAAGGCTTGAGCACTTATCCTTCTGCAGGATCTTGGAAAGCACGGTGGCCGCCATGGAGGGTGTGCTAAGGGGTGCCTCCAGCACAGCGCCTGGTTTTGGCTGGCTTTGGGAGGGCAAGAGGAGGCTGCAGAAATGGTTGGGTATGGCCTGGCTCCTCTCAGTTCCTCTCTGTTGTCTGGCGTCCTCCCCTCCCCCTCCTCCGTGGTCGCTGACCTTGTCCTGGCAGTGGCACGTTCTCCTTTTCCTGCAGAGGGACGGAAAGCAGCTTTATGCTCAACTCGAGAATATTTTTAGATATAGCGAAGATGGCCTGGTGACCGCAGCAGCCCGCCCTGCGTATGAAATATTCAGAAAGCCCTTTCTATGGCAGGGTGTTCCTCGTCCCTTCAGCTCCGCAGCTTTGCTGGTGCTTCCGGATGGATGGCAATGGCACAGGCGGGCGCCTCCGCCGCCTCTTTCCCGCTGCCGCTGGGCTCCCTCGCTCCGGACCCGAAATGCATTTCATTCCTTGTCAGCGGAGCCAGTGGGGGCCGCGGGCCTCCGCAGAAACATTGCCGAACGGCTTAGGAATGTGGAGCTGGAGCCGTTCCATGTGCTGGCGGAGGCGGCATGCTCCTCCATCCCTGCCTCCCTCCCCGCACCACCAGCATGGCTTTACGGCTCTGCAGGAGGAGGACCCCTGCCTGCTGACTCACTCCTAGCCAAAATCAGATGTAGGAGCTTTTTATCCATTGCAGATCCTGCCCCTAGCCTGCTTAGGCCCTTGGTTGGGAGCAGTCCGCACCGGTGTACCCTTCTGCAGCGGATCGGAGCTGGCAGCGCCGGGCAGGGGTGCACAGGCTCACCGTGTGCCACTGTGACGCACAGCAGGCGAGGGAGGCTGCTGGCAAGCCTTGCCCAGGAACCTTCCCGGGCTAGGCTGAGGATGCACGTGGCCAGCAACCCTTCCCTGACAGCCATAATAGGAGGCCTGATAGGAGAAAATCAATCTAAAAGAGAACAAGCAGATGTGGTGCATCCCGCCATTGCTCCTGCATCCACCCACCAGCTGAGGTTTAAGGACAAGGCAGCCTGGGTCAAGGCAGAGCAGCGGACTCCTTCCTCACGAGCAGGCTCTTGGGGAGAGGAAAAGGGGTGTCACTGCTGAAGAGTGTCGGGTTGGGGCCAGCTGGGGACTGGGGATGCTGAGAAGGGCAGGGAGAAGGACCGACGCAGGGACCCTGAGGGGTGCACAACCTGGGAAAGAGCTGAAAGCAGCTGCACAGTGGGTAAACCCAAAGGAACGGGCTCCACAAGCTGCAGCAGGCAAGCGGGGGACTGACTTACAACCTCCTTTTGCTTTTGTCATTTATTTCTGAATTTGTTTTGCTGTAAGAATATCGTCGTTTTAATTAAGTATTATGAAACCTGGTGTGTCAGAGCCCTGTTGAGAAGTACTTGCTCTGAAGCTGATCTACAATCTCCTTCAAGCTTGAAGCTGATCCTTCAAGCTGGACCCAGCCTGGGGCCTGTTTCAGATGGCGTGGTGTGGCTCTCGCGTGCCTTTGCAGTGAGACCTGCAGCAGCTGGTCCTTTGCCCTCCTGCACATCATCCTGTGCAGGGGTTCTCCGGTGCTGGGTTTATGCAGCAGCTGCTGCCGTAGGCCCCGATCTCTGAGCACTCACTCAGTGTGAGTGGTGTTTTCCCCAGGTAATTATTTTTAATGGGCAGGTTCAGTGCCCGGTGCCCTTATCTCACCTCCCTGAGTGGCTCTGGGCTTTTCCGTCCCTCCGGGTCTGCCTGTGCTCAGGCTGCCGTCAGCACCGTCCGCTGGCAACATGGGGGGCCCTGATAGCCAGCGCAGGGCCCTGCCAGCTCCGGGTCAAAGCTTGGTTTTCCTCTTGTGGCTTCTATGTCACGGCAGGTTTAATTATAACCCTGTCTGTCACACTCTCCTGGCTTATCTCGTGTGCTCCCATGCGCTTGCTTCCTCCTCGCTGGCAGCATCTCCGCTCAGTACCAGCTACCGTTGCTCCTGTGGGCGAGCGGGCTTTGGGACCTTGGGACGAGGAGACAAGGCTCCCCAACGCTGGCCAGAGACCCCGGGGTCAGCACAGGGCTGGAAAGTGGGACCCCCTTGCAAGCTCACCAGCATGGGGTGCAGCCCTTCCTTGCCCCTAGAAGCTGGGTCCCAGCTGTCGGGGAGCAGAGGTGCTGCCAGAAGGGAGGAGGAGGAAGGACCCTGCACACCGGAGGGGCTGGCAGTCAGAGCTAACCCATCTGTCTCCTCCAGCAGGTGACGCAGGAGTGGGGACAGGCCAGCCGCCACCATGGTCGCCCTCTCGCTGAAAATCAGCATTGGCAATGTGGTGAAGACGATGCAGTTTGAGCCCTCCACCATGGTGTACGACGCCTGCCGGATGATCCGCGAGCGGGTGCCCGAGGCCCAGATGGGACAGCGTAAGTCCATGGTGGGGCTGGCTGTCATGCTAGGGCCACCCCAGCTTAACTCCTGGCATTTCACTGGTCTCCCTTTCCTTTCCTGTCTCTGTGTCCATCTGGGCTTTCCCAGAGCAGTGAGGGGGGTGGGAGGAGCAAGGTCCAAAACCTCCTGTGCAGTTGAGGCGAGGGGCTGAGCTCCTTGGGCTCCCTCCTCGACACCCCAGAAGAAATTTGGGGGTTTAGAAGGTAGGAAACCACATTTGGAAGTGAAATACTCATCAAGCTCTTTGAGCCTGCTGCACTTTCTGTCTCTACTCCTCACTCCTACTTGCATCCATCACCACTAGCCAGGACTAGGTGGGTTTAAACAGTTGCAGGGGTCGTAGTGAGCGTTAATAAACCATAAAAATTAAATTTTCCTTTCTTGGGGGATATATGGTCCTCCATCGAGTCTGTCTCCCACCGGCAGCTCTCTGCCAGACCCATGCTGGGGCTCCATTACCTTGCTAAGCCTTCTCAGCTATAATATGTCCCTGCTGCCGCCAGGCTCAAAAGTAAGCTTATGGCTCACGAGCTCATGATGTGACTCACGCCCATGCGGATGTGGCCTGTCCCCAGCGTGGATGGGGGGGCTGGAGCACTGGGACATCATCTCGGGGGCTCTTCAGGGTCCCAGCCGCCTCTGAAAGCGGCTGTGCCATGGGGGAGAGGCAGCAAACAGGAGGTCAAGAGTCGTGGGAAGAGGAGGGGGAGTGCGGCAACATCTGGGAGCAGCAAATTCCTCGAGGATGAAAGGAAATGCCTTCTCGCGCCGTGCCCGGCTGGCCAGCGGTCCGGCAGATCACAGCTTTTGGTTTCGGAGAGTGACTGAATGTTTATGTGGATGCAGGGCTGTAGCCATGTTGGAGGGAGCATTGCATTTCCTGCTTCTGGGCGTGAGCCAGCCTGCTTATAAAAAAAGGGCAAGGGGAAAGCCTTAAAGGGAACTGCTTATTCCCGAGTTCCTTTTCAGTTGCTCACACCTTTTCTTTTCCTATCAGTTCCTTGCAGCTTTTGCTTCTCTTTGCTCTCCTTACCCAGTGGCACTCGGGGGTCCCTTTTTGAGCTGCCCTTTTTTTTTTTTGTCACCTTTGGACTGGGTGAGCTTCAGTGTAGCTTTCCAGCTCCGCTCTCGCTCTGTCTCAGGAAGCGCCTCTCCCTGCCCAAATTATGGAACTGGGGCAAGCTGCTCAGTTTTTGGTGCCATAGAGTTATCCTCTTGGAATTTGCTTTGAAAATAGGGTGCTTTTTTTTTAGTTAAAAAATAAAATGGCAAGCCTCTGTGATTTTTCTGCTCCCTGTTTAGTTGAATCCTAATGGCAGCGTTAGCCAGCCAGGAGTAGGGCGGCTCAGGAATTTGTCCCTCCCCGCAGAGAGCTGCCAACAAGATGACTTGTTATAAACTTAGCAGCCAGCCAAGACAGCCTGCGGCGCAGGATTGTTCGAAAGGTGGAGAAGGACTTTTCCCAGGGCAAAGCCAGGCGTGGTCCTGGCCTCTTGCAGCATGAAAATGGGGCTACCCCTGTGGGTCCAAGCTGGGGTGCCACTGCTCAGGCTCCAGCAGCAGCACTTTCACCAGGTACCCCAGCCCTGAGGGAGCAGGATTTGGTGAACAGCACTTATTCACCACCTCTGAGACCTTGTAAAAGCCTTCATCCCATCCTCCTTCAGCCTCTTCCTCCCCAAACGGAGGAGTCCCACCTCCTTTAGTACCTCATACCAAGGCTGCGTTAAGTTGCCTCTCTTTATATTTTTTCAAACTCTGCTCTGTCCTTCTGGGGAGGTGCAGACCACACCACCACAGAGTACTCAAAGTGTGGATGTGCCTAGGTTTTGTAGACCAGTTCCCAGCACCCTTCCTGGTGATGCCTGGCGTTTTACTACCTTGCTTTGGCTGCTGCTACACGTTGCACCGAAGATTTCTGAGAGCTGTCAACCACCACTCCAAGCTTTTCCTTCTGTTGTGACTGTCAGTTCCAAGTTCAGCATTGCGTAGGCATGCTTCAGATGATTTTTTCCGTAGATAACTATGGTAAAACATGTACCTTGAAGCTTGCTTGCCAGCTTTTTGCCTACTCGTTAGGTTTAGGCTCCAGCGTTCACAGTGCTGCTGTGCTTCACGCATTGGGCTGCACCAACGCACATCCCCAGGTGCAGGCTGGCATCTTTATGGCCCTGTCCTGCTCAGGATTACCCTGGCAGAGACTTTACCTGTTTTTCAGCCAATGATTTTGGGCTGTTCCTCTCGGATGAAGACCCAAAGAAAGGGATCTGGCTGGAGGCTGGGAAGGCTCTGGACTACTACATGCTTCGCAATGGGGTAAGCATCCGTCCCACGTCCTTTCCAGCTGGTACCCGCCTTGGCTCTGCGGTTGGATGTGCCTGCGGTGTGGAGGTGGTGTGGGTGCCTGCCCTGCTGCCTTGCATTGGGCCCCACAGCACCCCATGTCCCCCCCCACAATTGCACCGGGGAGAGGGAGCTGTTGGCGTGATGGTGGGATGTGGGCACCTTGCGCTGGTGCCACTGCTGGGAGCTGTGGTCCGCTGTGCCCGCAGGACACCATGGAGTACAAGAAGAAGCAGCGGCCCCTGAAGATCCGCATGCTGGATGGGACAGTGAAAACGGTGATGGTGGATGACTCCAAAACCGTCACGGACATGCTCATGACAATCTGTGCCCGGATCGGTGAGAGGAGGTGGCAACAACAGGGGGGAGGAAGGGAGGTGGGGAGAGATGGCAGCATCTGATGGGGCTGCTGGGGGAGTGGCAGCAGCTCTGCGGTGGATGGCCTGGCAGCCGGGATGTCCGAGGAGGGTGTGATGCTGGGGAGGGGACACTCTCTGCACCCCTGCGTTGCTCCAGGCTCTGTATTTGGCAGCAATGTCATGCTGAGCTTGGTCCTCTGCTCTTCTGCAGGCATCACCAACTATGATGAGTACTCACTTGTTCGGGAGATTATGGAAGAGAAGAAGGAGGAGGTTACTGGCACCCTCAAGAAAGACAAGACCCTGCTGCGAGATGAGAAGAAGATGGAGAAGCTCAAGCAGAAGTTGCACACGGATGACGAGTGTACGTGCCTGCAGGTGCTGGGGACAGGGTCAGCCCGTGCCAAGGGCCACAGGGAGGGAAGCAGGGACCCCTGCAGGGGGAAGACCGAATGCAGGGGAGCGGAGGTGACAGTGGAGAGGACTGTGACAAGGGGACATGTGCCCACACTCCCTGGAGTGTCTCCTGCTTGGAGGCCCAGGGCAGAGGGGTGGGAGCCGGGATGCACCGGACAGACATCTGTTTCTTGCTCCGCGTGAGCAGCCCCAGGGCCGGGACCAACCCTGCCTGGGTGCCCGTCCCTGCTCACTCCCTGGCATTGCCTACAGTGAATTGGCTGGACCACGGCCGGACCCTGCGCGAGCAAGGCATCGACGACAATGAAACGCTGCTGCTGCGGCGCAAGTTCTTCTACTCTGACCAGAATGTGGACTCGCGAGATCCTGTGCAGCTCAACCTGCTCTACGTGCAGGTACGGCTCCCCAGAGTGCCTACCTCTGCTGCCCCATACCAGCCCCCTGCCAGGGCTAGTGGCTGAGGGTTTTGGCCAGGAGCCACCATGGGCGGCACCTCAGGATGCCCAGTTATGTCCTGGGTAAGAGCCAACGCTGGCAATCCCAGCCCTGACGTGTGTGTACTCTGGAGCTCCCCAGGGGATCCTGTACCTCCTCTGCCTGGTAGGAACCATCCTGAAATCCTGATGCTGTTCCTCTCCCAGGCATGGTGATGGTCCCTGTAGGGGACAGCCTGCCCCTAGATCCTCCTCTTTTTCATGGCCACTTCTTTCCTGTCTGAAAAACAGGTCCTGCCCGGTGTGGAGGGGAGCGGTGGCAGGGCTGCGTGGCTGCCCAGCCCACGACGATGTCTTCTCTTTCCATGCAGGCTCGTGATGACATCCTTAACGGTTCCCACCCTGTCTCCTTTGACAAAGCCTGCGAGTTTGCCGGCTACCAGTGCCAGATCCAGTTCGGGCCGCACAATGAACAGAAGCACAAGCCAGGCTTTCTGGAGTGAGTGTCGTGGGGACCCCCAGGTGGCTCGAGCACCTTGGCAGCCCCCAGCACCGCGCCAGCACACGGGGCTCTTGGGGTGTGGCTGCCTCTGGTGTGACCCCTCTCCTCCCTGCATCACGGTGCCCAAGAGTGGAGGTCCACGCTGGCTGCAAGGGGAGCCAGCCCCCCCGTCCTGCTCCCTCTGGCACCCCCCAGGACATGCAGCCAGCTCTGATGGGGGGGACCCCAGCCCACCGTGCTGGGGGGCTGCATCCTCGGCACCTCCATCCCACTCTCAGCAGGGCAGCTCCTGGGGCAGCTTTCGTTACTGCAGCAACCTCTCCCACACCCTTTTTCCTCCCAAAAACTCCCAGCCCATGCCCTGGCAGGGGTTTGCCCAAGGTTCTTTGTAGTTGAAGACAAACGCTGGCATCGGGCTCTGCTGCTAACAGCTGGCTTGGCTGTCTCTTGGCAGACTCAAGGATTTCCTGCCCAAGGAGTACATCAAGCAGAAAGGGGAGCGCAAGATCTTCATGGTATGTGCAGGGGGGGTGTTGAGACCTGGTCTGCTTCTTCCTCCTCACCAAAGGTTGAGGCTGCTTTTGGCTCTGGAGGCAACACAAGGTAGCTTGGCAGATGAGAAACAGGAGCAGGAAGCTGTAGGTGGGCTGACAAGGCAGCTCCTGAGGTCCCAGAGGTCAGAGGGATGCTGTAGCAGGGGCAGGGGATGCTGGGTGGGGCGGGAGAGCCTGGAAAGGCTGTGACAGTGCGATGGTGGCACAGCCAGGGGACCGTGAAGCTAGCGCGGTGTTCTCTCTTTGCTGTCACAGGCCCACAAGAACTGCGGGAACATGAGCGAGATTGAGGCCAAAGTTCGCTACGTGAAACTTGCTCGTTCCCTCAAGACCTACGGGGTCTCCTTCTTCTTGGTCAAGGTAGAGCAGCAGCTACCCCCAGTCCCACCTCTCACCGGCCAAAATTCCTCTTCTCCAGCATCCTTCCATCTGTCGTGTTTCTAGCTGCTACCCCGCAACCCACGTTGCTCTGGTTTTCCCTGCATCTCCACTGTCTGCCTCTCCTTCTTGCCTTTTCCTGTGCACTGCCTTCCCACTTCTTGGTTCATGCTTTTTCTCATTTTCAAGCCCCATGTCATGGTTGTGACCACCAGAAAGTGTGGCCTTGAGGGTGTTTGGCAGCCACAGCAGGCCTCAAAGGTCTCTGCTTGGATGGATCCGTCCCGGGGATAGCCCACAACCTTTCTGTTGCGGTCTGCAGGAGAAGATGAAGGGGAAGAACAAGCTGGTGCCGCGGCTGCTGGGGATCACCAAGGAGTGCGTGATGCGTGTGGATGAGAAGACCAAGGAAGTGATTCAGGAATGGAGCCTGACCAACATCAAGCGTTGGGCGGCCTCGCCCAAGAGCTTCACCCTGGTAGGGACCAGCCCCGGTCCTCCACCCCCCGTCCCCGTCGGTGCCCCCATAGGGGGCTGCTCTCACGCCAATGCCTCTCTTGGGTATGGCCCCATGGTAGGACAGCCTTGCCCTCCTCTGGTGCCTCTCCTGGCTGCTGTTTCAGAGGCTGGCACTTAGCACATACCAGAGGGGCTCAGGATGGCCGCCAGCGCCCTGCTCCAGTGCTACCCTGTGCCCTGCCGTTGCAGGATTTTGGAGATTACCAGGATGGTTACTACTCAGTGCAGACGACGGAGGGGGAGCAGATCGCCCAGCTGATTGCCGGCTACATCGATATCATCCTCAAAAAGGTGAGGCTGTGCTGAGACGGGCACTGGCAACCATCTCCTCTCTGGAGAGGGGTGCAGGGTGCCCCTTCCAGCTGCCTCCAGACAGCCATTGGCACACAGTGCTGCTGGGGGAGCTGGAGATGGGGCAGGGGGACCCCTGTGGCCTCAGTACGGTGCCTGGGCTGCAGGAGGAGGGGAAGGCTGGGAGGTATGTGCTGGCTGACACATTTTCTAAAAAGAGCAAAGACCACTTTGGACTGGAGGGGGATGAGGAGTCCACCATGCTGGAAGACTCTGTGTCTCCAAAGAAGTAAGTCTTCCAGCAGCAAGTTAGCTGCCAAGCCAAAGTTGAACGGAGAGCGGGCTCCAGCCAAGCTTGCAGCACAGCGTGTCTGGAGGAAGAGCTGTCGGTCCTTGGGTGGCAGCACTCCCGCAGAGCCTGGTGCCGGGGCCGTGGGCATCCCTTGACCTGGTATTTCTCCCTGTTTCAGGTCAACCGTCTTGCAGCAGCAGTTTAACCGTGTAGGCAAGGCAGAGCTGGGCTCGGTGGCCCTGCCAGCCATCATGCGGACAGGGGCTGGAGGGCCAGAAAACTTCCAGGTGGGCACGATGCCGCAGCCTCAACTGCAAATCACCAGTGGCCAGATGCACCGAGGGCACATGCCTCCCCTGGTAAGCTCTCACTTGTGCCCACCGTAGGGCACAAACTCGAAAAGGTGCCCATTGGGCTTGTGTAGATCCATCCATTTGGGTCCGTGGCCAGGCACTGGCTTGCTGTGAAGAACAGGGACTCTGTGCCGCTGGCCTCATGTGCTTGCTGGCCTGGCTGAGCTGGCGTCCTCCTGCACCCGCTCTGCAAACTTGAGCTACACCCTGGAGTTTTCCCCTGGCCGGTGTCTGCAGCCTCTCCTTCAGGTTGAGCTGCCCCGAGCTGCTATGCCTGGCCAGCCCCACCAGTGCCATGGTTTGCAGCAGAGCCTTGTGCCTGGCTTTGGTGCCCCCCACGTCCTCTGCAGCTGGAGAAGCGCTTGGAAAAGGCCACGAGGAGGCTGTTTTCTTTGACCCCACTCAGCCTGCTGTGGGGCTTGCTGTAAAAGCCTTGTGGCGTCCCACTGCGTCTGCTCCCCACTCCCCGAGAGCTGGCTAATTGTGAGACTCACTTGTACCCATGGTGTGACGGAGCATTTCCCAGTGGGAGATGCAGAGGGGAGATCCCCTTTTTGCAAGGTGCACCCCTTTTTGCTAGGTGCACCCCCCTTTGTGGAGGCGCCTACCTAGGGCACTGTCATGAACAGCACCTTACACCATGTTGCAGGGGAGCGTGTGAGCCAAATACTTAAGCCTAGATTTCAAGCCTCCAGCATACCTCAGTCTGTCTCTATGTTGCAGACTTCAGCCCAGCAAGCCCTGACTGGCACCATCAACTCCAGCATGCAGGCTGTGCATGCAGCCCAGGCCACGCTGGACGACTTCGAGACCTTGCCGCCCCTCGGGCAGGATGCTGTGAGTGCCGGGTGAAGGCAGGGTGCTGGGGGGGGACCTCGCTGTAGGTTGTTGGCTGGGCTGGGTGAGACTGGCCGCATTCCCAGGGGAGGTGTCAGCAGCTCCTGGGGAGATCTGCTGCCTGCAAAGAGGTGGAGTTGTATCCCACTCTGGGGGCAGGAGTGGAGGGGACGCTTGGTCATGTTGCTTGGTCAGGATGGGCTGGGGAGTTTTGGGTGGTCGCAGCTCTTCTTTCTTCCTTGTCTCCTCTTTCCGTCATCTCTCTGTATGAGCATGGGTGCAGCTACCCACCAACTCCACCACCATCTCCTGATCCTGTTCTCCCCATTTTAGGCATCCAAAGCTTGGCGCAAAAACAAGATGGATGAGTCAAAGCATGAGATCCACTCCCAAGTGGATGCTATCACTGCCGGCACAGCCTCGGTGGTCAACCTCACTGCAGGTATGCGGAGGGTTGGAGAAGAGGGATGTCCCATCTCTGGAGAAGGCTTGGTCTCTTGTCTGGCTGAAGGTTGCAGCTCCTGCCCTCCGTCGGAGACTGGATGAGCCAGCCTGCCCCAGCTAGAGCTAAATCAGCCCTGACTGCTGCTAACGTGCCTGTAGAGCTGGCCATGCCCCCACAGCTTGCCCTGCCTTTAGATCCCTGCCTGTGCCCAGCCCAGTCCTTCCAGTCTTTGGCTGACCAGTCATTCTCTGGACAAGGAGCGTGTTGTCTGGTCCCTGCCATAGCTTCAGGCACAGCCGTGGCACGATGCAGGTCTCTTTCCCAGGCTCTCCCGCCTAAATTCAGCTGATGCGACCTGCTTTCAGGCTTAGGAGCCAGAGGATCTCTTCCCCTCTCCTGGGAAGGAGAACCACATCGGTGACAGGCGCAGGGATGCTTTTGGAGCATCACTTGAAGCGCGTCCCATCCTGACTTGTCTCCTCCCTGTGTAGGGGATCCAGCGGACACGGACTACACCGCTGTGGGCTGCGCCGTCACCACCATCTCTTCAAACCTGACGGAGATGTCCAAGGGTGTGAAGCTGCTGGCCGCACTGATGGAGGACGAGGGAGGGAACGGGCGGCAGCTTCTGCAGGCAGCAAAGAACCTGGCGAGCGCCGTCTCGGACCTGCTGAAAACGGCACAGCCTGCCAGTGCTGAGGTGGGGGGCAGGGGGGGCTGTGGGGCTGAGAGGAGGGTGGAAACCAAAGGGAACCATTGGGTGAGGTTTTAGGGCTTGCTCACGAGCCTGGTGTTGATTTTGCCTCATTCCTTGCAGCCTCGCCAGAATCTCCTGCAGGCTGCTGGCCTTGTGGGCCAGACCAGCGGGGAACTGCTGCAGCAGATCGGGGAGAGCGACACCGACCCTCGGTTCCAGGTGAGTGCACCTGGTGGCATCCAGGGACACCCGCTCCCTAAAACCATCAGCCTTTGCACAGGACCTGGCAGGAGGGCTCAGGGCCGAAGCTTGGCCAGTGCCCGGTGGTGACTTTGCTGAGGGAGGGGACAGGCCGTTGCCCATCTCTGTCCCTAGAGCCGCTGTGATATAATGCCTCTTATCTTGTGGATTCCCACATAGATCCCAGAAAGCCGGTGTGCTTGGATCCTGCCTGCCTCTGACCCAAAGACGGTAAAAGCGGGCTGTAGGCATGGCTTGGTGGTCCCTGCCCCCTCCAGTGTGAGGGGTGCTCCTCTGGGGACTATCAGCTGAACTCTTTGGAAAAGGGCTCCTGTCAAAAATCTGCTTTTCTGGTGGTTGGCTCTCAGAAGTCCATGCACTCGGGTCGCTGCTTGGGTGGGCGCTGCCATGGGAGTCCTCCCTTGCAGCCGCCTTGGCTCCTGCCTGCCACTCCCTGCCTGTGGGAGCTGCCTGCCTGCCCCACCAGGGAGACCTAGGGTGGCTGGAGCCTCGTGGGGTGGTTCATTTTGGCTGAGCTGACTTCCAGTAGGCTTGCTTTCCCACGACTGCTCCTTCCAGCACAAGGGAGGTAGCACACTGTGCTGGGGAGGAGGATCCAGCCATAGTATAGACCAAAACAGGCTCCAGAAAGGAGGAGTTTCTGTTCATGGTGGCCACACAGCCTCAACACGAGCAGAAAAGCCTGGACAGATAGCCAAGGGGAGCGGAAAAGCTAGCACCAGGGCAGGAAGCCATGCTTGGCCAGGCAGCAGGGCCAGGACAGGGCAGCCCCAAGGGGTGGATTTAGGACCTGGAAGACAATTTGCACATGTGCAGCCGGATGCTCTGCCCTGCAGCTGCCAGACCCGAGTGTATCTACTTCCCTCCCTGGGCTCAGATGCAGCAGTCTGGGGACTCTGGAGCTGGGTGCATGCGCTCTCTGGTCTCTCCTCCTGTCTGGAAAGGTGGCGGATTGCAGCGGGAGTAGTCTTGGCTTGCAGGGGCCGAGGGGAGGCTGTGACACTTCTGGCTTGGTGGCTGGAGGCTTAGCTGTCGCGGGGTGCGGGGCCGCTCGCTGTGAGCATGCACACAGCAGGAGGATTGCAGGCGCAGCAGGCAGAGAGCGCTGCCCTGTGTACCAGGGTCTTTGCCCCAAGCATTTGCTGTCTAGCGCTGGTGCTGCCAGTTTTCGCTGGCAGCGTGCCACGGGAGCTAATCCTGATGTCTGCAGCGTGCTGTCATGTTTGATACCCTGCAGGAAAGCAGTCTGCTCTGTGCTGGTCGCTGCCTGTTGTGTGCTGGCAGCGCAGCCCCGTGCCTTCCCTGCCGCCCCTGAGGGAGAGGAGGCTGGTTGCTGTGTCATACCTCCTTTAGCCCCGGGAATGACAGCAGAGATGTAGCCCGTCACTCACGAGCTTAGAAAATAGCTGGCATGCTTGCAGTACAGGTGACTAGTGTGGGCAGCATCTCCCGCTTGTCTCTTGCTGGTGGGGTGAGCCCGTGGGCAGGCAGCTGCCCCCATTGTGGCTGTGCCACAGCTGGCTTGTGCCTGCCATTTGGCTGGAGGGGTTTGTTAGGTTTTTGCTGTTTGGCTTTGCACGGGGTGCAAAGCCAGGCAGTGCCGGCAGTGCCTTGCAGCATGTTGTCGCTGTGGTACAATCAGGGGCTCGGCACGGGTTGTTGCCTGGGGAGTGGGCAGTGAGCAGGTCGTGGGTGTTGGGGTGATGCTGAGCGTTGCTCGAGCTGTTCTGTGTGGCGTTCGTGGCAGTGCTGCGTGTGCAGGCTGTGGCTCAAGGCCGGGTTACAGCCTCACCGCCAGCTGTAGCACACAGTAGAGATGGAGTCAAGGTGTGCCAGCCACTCCAGGTGTTCAGTGCTGCTGGTACTGGGACAGAGTGGATGAAAGGCACCCGAGAGCTCACGTTTCCCTGCTGAATATTTCACAAGAGCCCTGCAGGCAGCTGCCGGTGCTTCCGCCGCCTTGGCTTCTGCGCTGACACTTTCTGTCTCCCCCAGGACATGCTCATGCAGCTGGCGAAGGCGGTGGCCAGCGCTGCTGCCGCGCTGGTGCTCAAAGCCAAGAACGTGGCTCAGAAAACAGAGGACGCAGCCCTGCAGACGCAGGTGATCGCGGCTGCCACCCAGTGCGCCCTCTCCACCTCCCAGCTGGTGGCCTGCACCAAGGTAAGCAGCAAGGTTAACCCTTGCCTCGGTGTGACTGCAAGCATCACTTGGCTGGTGGCAGCTCCATGGTGGGGTCATAGGTGTGCTAGGATCACACGTCCTCAGGCAGGACGTTAGGGTTCTGGCACCAGAAGCGTGGGCTGCCTTGGGCTGGGGTCCCTGCCACTGTGCCCAAGCACTGAATACCCTCTTTGGAGGAGCAGAAGTTGGGGACAGCTGTCCCCGCACAGCTCCTACAAGGAGCCCACCGCGCTCGCTGCCCAGCCTTTCTCCTCCTCTCCAGGTGGTGGCTCCCACAATCAGCTCCCCGGTTTGCCAGGAGCAGCTGATTGAGGCTGGCAAGTTGGTGGCCAAGTCGGCAGAGGGCTGCGTGGAGGCCTCCAAGGCAGCCACCAATGATGACCAGCTCCTGAAGCAGGTGGGGGTGGCAGCCACGGCCGTCACCCAGGCCCTGAACGACCTGCTGCAGCACATCAAGCAGCACGCCTTGGGCGGGCAGCCCATCGGGCGCTATGACCAGGCCACCGACACCATCCTCAACGTCACCGAGAACATATTCAGCTCTATGGGCGATGCTGGTGAGAGCAGCTGATGGCACGTGGGGTAAAGCACAGTGGATGGGGGGGGTGTCGGGGAGCCTATGGGACTTGCTAACAGTCCACCCTTCCTTTCTGTCCCAGGGGAAATGGTGCGGCAGGCTCGTATTCTGGCCCAGGCCACCTCCGACCTCGTCAATGCCATCAAAGCTGATGCGGAGGGAGAGACGGACCTGGAGAACTCACGCAAGCTGCTGAGCGCGGCCAAGATCCTGGCTGATGCCACTGCCAAGATGGTGGAGGCTGCGAAGGTCAGTGGCGTGGGGGAGGATGGATGCTGGCTTTGGTCCCCAGTCCCATCTGACACCATCGGCTCAGTGCTGTGGAGGGCCAAGCAGCCCTTGGGCAGGGGAGCGGTTCCCAGAGCAAGGTCCTGCATTGAGCTGGGGACCTGCGCAATGGAGTGGGGCTCCTCCTGGAGCTGTGGGTGGCAGCAGAGGAGCTGTTAGCTCTTCTGCTGCTGAGCTCTCCCAGAGAGGCCTTTGGCATCTCCCTGGCATTGCAGGCAGCCAGGCTGCCTGGGGGTGCTCCCCAGCGTCAGGCCAAAGCACAGCTGCTGCTTCAGGAGGACAAGGGACCTGGTGGCCCCTGCAAGGTGTGATGGGTTTCCTCTTTCTCCAGGGAGCCGCAGCACACCCGGACAGCGAGGAGCAGCAGCAGCGGCTGCGCGAGGCGGCGGAGGGGCTCCGCATGGCGACCAATGCCGCAGCCCAGAACGCCATTAAGAAGAAGCTTGTGCACAAGCTGGAGGTGAGATGCTGGGCAAGGGGGCCATGGAGGGCAAGCGGGCACGGTCAGCGAGTGAGACCTCGCCGGGACCCCCCACATCCCTGCACTTTCCAGAGGGATAAAGTCCTTTTCATGTACAGTGCCCATGCTGCATCCCACAGAGATCTCCCCACAGCTGCCTTCCTGTGGGGATTAAGGGCACGGACTCTGGCAGGCAACAACCAAAGACCCTTTATTGCTCTTTATCGGCATTCTTTATAGCAAACAGAAGCGTTCCACGCGCCGTCTGCAGCTTGCAGATTGGTTACAGCCTTGTGTTCACGCGCGTCTATGCTCTAGCGGATTGGCCTGTTCTTCTGATCAGGCGACATGCCTTCATGACCTTTACCTTGTTTACTCCTTTTCAGCAGCTCATTACTTCTTCCTTTGTCTTCTGCTTACGTGCCTTCTCAGGCCTCAGTGGCACATTGCTGGCTCATCAAGCTCAGTAATGTCCGTTGTTGAAGTTCCCATCCCCACACCTTCCCTTGTGCACACCGTGTCGCTTTGGTATGCCGGGCACCGAGGGTACTGGGGATGCTCCGGTGTCACAAGCAGAGAGGCATGGGAGGAGAAGTTTAGGGGGAGCTGGGCCCCAGTGTGTGGCTGGGGGGGCTCGGGGCAGGCTGGCCCGCCACTCCCATGCCTCCCCCCACCAGCACGCAGCCAAGCAAGCTGCCGCCTCTGCCACCCAGACCATCGCTGCCGCGCAGCACGCCGCCTCCTCCAACAAGAACCCTGCCGCGCAGCAGCAGCTGGTGCAGAGCTGCAAGGTAAGGGCGCAGGCCTGATCCTGGCATCTCCTGTGCTGCCTCTCCCTGTCCCTTCTCCCATCAGCCGTGCCGGGGTTCCATGCTCAGCTGCAGAGGGCAGGCAGGACCTTGCGGTCCTCATGCAGCTCCCCCGGGAGCCAGTCTTTCGGTCACTGGTCCTGGATTAGATCCATCTCCTCCTGGCTGAGCCTCTCCAGTGACCCTTCTCTCTGGCAGGTGGTGGCAGAGCAGATCCCGATGCTGGTGCAGGGCGTACGAGGAAGCCAGTCCCAGCCGGACAGCCCCAGTGCCCAGCTGGCTCTCATTGCTGCCAGCCAGAACTTCCTGCAGGTACCCACGCTGCCCAGAGCCTCACACACCGGCTCTGGCATTACAGCTTTCCTACCATGCCTGCCCCTCCTCTAAGAGAGCGGAAAACCTGCTGCACGTGGGCAGCTGAGAGATGCTGCATGTTTGTGCCCTTCTCACGGCTTTTTCTTTTGGCTTGGCAGCCTGGTGGGAAGATGGTAGCTGCAGCCAAGGCCACCGTCCCCACCATCACAGACCAAGCCTCTGCGATGCAACTCAGCCAGTGTGCCAAGAACTTGGCCGCGGCTCTGGCTGAGCTCCGCACAGCTGCCCAGAAGGTGAGAGGCTGGGTCCAGTCCCACAGCAGGACCCCAGAGCTGGGGGTGACAGTGGCAACAGCCCGGTGGCAGGTCATGGTCTCTGCCACAGCAGGGTGGGCTCAGCAGTCGCCTCACTCACCTTCCCTTCTCCCCCATCGCAGGCTCAGGAGGCATGTGGACCCCTGGAGATAGACTCTGCGCTGGGTCTGGTGCAGAGCCTGGAGAGGGACTTGCAGGAAGCCAAGGCAGCTGCCCGTGACGGCAAGCTCAAGCCTCTGCCGGGAGAGACGGTGAGGGCGCAGGGAAGGGTGGCTCAGGGTGATGCGGGGTGCGCGCTGGAGCAGGGGAGCTGCCAGAAGGTGCAGCCCACCAGCATGTCCCCACTCATCCCCCCGCAGATGGAGAAATGTGCCCAGGACCTGGGGAACAGCACGAAAGCCGTCAGCTCTGCCATCGCTCACCTCCTGGGAGAGGTGGCCCAGGGCAACGAGAACTACACAGGTACTGGCCTCCACGCTGGGGCTGGGAGAGGGGAGGGGACCGTGCCAGCAGCCACTGACCTCTCCGTCCCCCCAGGGATCGCTGCCCGAGAGGTGGCCCAGGCCCTGCGCTCGCTCAGCCAGGCTGCCCGTGGCGTGGCAGCCAGCACCCCCGACCCGCAGGCACAGAGCGCCATGCTAGAGTGTGCCAGCGACGTCATGGATAAAGCTAACAACCTCATCGAGGAGGCGCGGAAAGCAGTGGCCAAGCCTGGTGACCCAGACAGCCAGCAGCGCCTGGCCCAGGTAGGGGGAGTGGGGACCCGCGTACCCCTGACCAGCCCGCAGGAAGAGCATGGGGTTGGCCGGGAGATGGTGACCGCTCTTTGCTTCTCCGCAGGTGGCCAAGGCAGTGTCGCAGGCCCTGAGCCGCTGCGTCAACTGTCTGCCAGGGCAGCGGGACGTGGATGCTGCCATCCGCATGGTGGGAGAGGCCAGCAAGAGGCTGCTTGCAGATTCGGTGAGCTGAGCAAGGGCGGGAGGGGAAGGGGGAAGCCTTGCAGGGATGCGAGATGGTCTGTCCACGCCAGGTTCCTCTGTAGCATATGCCCAAGCATGTGCCAGACCTTCATCCTCCATCTCCATCCTCCTCGCTGCCTCTCCTAACACCTCTCCCTGCCTCCAGTTCCCTCCCAGCACCAAGAATTTCCAGGAGGCGCAGAGCCAGCTGAACCGAGCGGCCGCAGGGCTCAACCAGTCTGCCAACGAGCTGGTGCAGGCATCGCGTGGCACCCCTCAAGACTTGGCCAAGTCCTCTGGCAAATTTGGGCAGGACTTCAATGAGTTCCTGCAAGCAGGAGTGGAGATGGCCAGCCAATTCCCGGTGAGAGCAAACGCCTGTTGGGGGATCCTGGGTACAGTGAGTGGTTTGGGGTGCCTGGGAGGGCAGCTGACCACAGGCAGGGTGGCCCAGCAGCAGTGGTTACAGTGGCTGTAGCCAACGCAGCTGGTGAGATGGGGACTGGGGCTGTGCAAAACTGCAACAGCAGGGAGAAGGTGGCTTGGGTTTGTTCAGCAAGCATTGCCACCGTATCCTTGCTGTTGGCGGGCGAGTTAGACGAAGGGAACCGGCTCAGCTTAAAAACCGCTGGAGAAGACCCAGGGTGGGTGTGGAGCTTGGAAACCTGCTGCAGGTAACTCTTCTTGGCTCCCTTCTTGGCTCCTTGCAGAATAAGGAAGACCAGGCACAGGTGGTGTCGAACTTGAAGAGCATCTCCATGTCCTCCAGCAAGCTGCTGCTGGCTGCAAAGGCGCTCTCTGCCGACCCTGCAGCCCCCAACCTCAAGAATCAGCTGGCAGCAGCGGCACGGTAGGAGGAACCGTTCCCTGTGAACTGTTTGCTGTAGCAGTGGGTCCGGGTGTTGGAGCTGGTGTTGATCCATGGGTCTTTCTCCCCTGTCCCCGGCAGGGCCGTGACCGACAGCATTAACCAGCTGATCACCATGTGCACCCAGCAGGCGCCAGGCCAGAAGGAGTGCGACAATGCCCTGCGGGAGCTGGAGGTGAGAAGCTACATCTTGACAAGGCAGTGGAGGGGCTGAGATGGCTGGGTGCTGAGACGGTGGGGAGTGGGGAGCTGCACCCTGCTGCGAGGGGCAGGAGGGAGCAAAGAGGAGGTGCAAGTGGAGGTCGCGGACCCTTCCCTTGGATGTGACACCCGTGTCCCTACAGACGGTGAAGGAGCTGTTGGAGAACCCCACCCAGACCGTCAACGACATGTCCTACTTCAACTGCCTTGACAGTGTCATGGAGAACTCCAAGGTGAGCCCTGAGCTGGAGGTGGAGGTTTGGGGAAGGATGGGGAGGTTTGGGAAGGATGTGGGGGCAAAGGGACGTGGGCATCCTCCCCTGTTGATGAAGCACAGTGACCTCTGAACCTGGGAGCATGGTACGGGAGCGGGAAGTGGTCTCTAACTGGTGCATGGTGTGTCCTGCAGGTGCTGGGCGAGTCCATGGCTGGCATCTCCCAGAATGCCAAGAACAGCAAACTGCCCGAGTTCGGTGACTCCATCAGTGCCGCCTCCAAAGCTCTCTGTGGGCTGACGGAGGCAGCTGCCCAGGTGAGACACACTCAGTCCCAGCCCTGAGTGTTACCCCTGGTGCATAGTTGCTGTATGCACCTCTCCAAGCCTGCCCCCATGGGATGGTGCTGCCAGCCTCCTCCACAGCCCGTGCCTGCTCTGAGCCTCCCCACCGTGTGCAAGCTCCCTCTCACCACCTCTCTCGTTCTCCTAGGCTGCCTACCTTGTGGGGGTCTCGGACCCCAACAGCCAGGCTGGACAGCAGGGCTTGGTAGACCCCACTCAGTTTGCCAGAGCTAACCAAGCCATACAGATGGCCTGCCAGAATCTGGTGGATCCTGCCTGCACCCAGTCCCAGGTGAGTATGAGGTGGGGCACCGTTACAGGCATTTTCTTTTATGAAAGGGAGCGTGAGGCTAGTTGGAAGAGCTGCATCCCAAGAATTGGCCGAGATTATGGCTAGTGTCTCATCAGGCCCCATTGGCTGTACTGGGAACCAGCTGGCAGCTTTGGTGCAAGGGTGACAGTCCAGATGGGGGGCTGTATGGGCCTGCAGGACCTTGGCAATCTTTCTTGGGTCACAAGAGGGACTCCTGTGGTCACTGGTGCCCCACGCGGGGCCGGTGGGAAGGGAGAGCTGCGGGGATGGGGAGTCATGGTGGATCCTGCCTTACCCTGCTCTTCCCTGCAGGTGCTGTCAGCAGCCACCATCGTAGCAAAGCACACCTCGGCCCTGTGCAACACATGCCGCCTGGCCTCCTCCCGCACGGCCAACCCTGTGGCCAAGCGCCAGTTCGTCCAGTCAGCCAAGGAGGTGGCCAATAGCACGGCCAACCTGGTGAAGACCATCAAGGTGCGGTCTCCCTCCTGTGGCACTGTGGTGGGGATGGGATTTGGGGCATGGTGGGGGTTGGATAACTGCTCTGGTCTTTCCACACCAGGCCCTGGATGGCGAGTTCAACGAGGAGAACCGGGAGCGGTGCCGTGCCGCCACCGCCCCTCTCATAGAGGCCGTGGATAACCTGACAGCCTTTGCCTCCAACCCGGAGTTTGCCACTGTTCCTGCCCAGATCAGCCTGGAGGTGGGATGCCACAGGGGCAGGGAAGATGTGGTCTGGCTGTGACAGGGGCTGCTTGTAGGGTGGGGAGGAGCTGTGCCTCCCCCTGAGCTTGGGATGGAGTCCTAGTGCGGGGCTGGTGCCTTGGGGGGTGCGATGGGGAGGTGGCAGCCAGCCTTGGGCTTCAAGGGGCTGCTCCGGGGTGAGAGTCGTGGGAGAGGGAGTAACTTCCCATGCACAGTCCCTTGCCTCACCAGCCCATCATCTCCCTGTGCAGGGACGCAGAGCCATGGAGCCCATTGTCTCTTCAGCCAAGACCATGCTGGAGAGTTCTGCTGGCCTCATCCAGACCGCCCGCTCTCTGGCTGTCAACCCCAAGGACCCACCGCAGTGGTCGGTGCTAGCTGGCCACTCTCGCACTGTCTCGGACTCCATCAAGAAGCTGATCACCAACATGAGGTGAGGAGAGTCCTGCCCACTTGACTGTGGCTCTGTCCCTGCTGGCAGGTACCCCTGCTCTGAGCGAGCATTCCTGGGGATGTTTTGGCCCATCATCTCCTTGGCTGCTGCTGGCGGCAGGAGGCAAGGGATGGGACAGAAGATGCCATCCCTCTTGTCCTGCGCGGGAGCTGCTCCTCCAGCCCTGGCATGGGTTAATGGGAACACATGCTGGCATGCCTGGGCTTTATGACACTGGCTTGCCCCAAAGCCCGGGAGAGGGTTCCTGCCCCTCACTGGCACCAGCTGAGGCTGGGCACGAAGGGGTGGCATAGCACCTGCCAGCGCTGGGCTGATCCTTCTGTCACACAGGGACAAAGCTCCAGGACAGCGAGAGTGTGACGAGGCCATTGAGGTCCTGAACAGATGCATGCGGGAGGTGGACCAGGCCTCCCTCGCTGCCATCAGCCAGCAGCTGGCCCCCCGAGAAGATATCTCCCAGGAGGTGGGTCAGGGATGTGCCGTTGCAAGCTTAACAGGGATGGGCGTCCTTCCCCCTGGCTCCCAGCATGACACGGTGACCCCAGCCCTGCTGCAACCTCATGCAACGCTCTCTCTTTGCAACAGGCTTTGCACAACCAGATGATCACAGCTGTCCAGGAGATCAGCAACCTGATTGAGCCTGTGGCCAGCGCGGCGCGGGCCGAGGCATCACAGCTGGGGCACAAGGTAACACGGGGATGGGGAGCTGCTGATGAGGCACTCAGTGCGCGTGGAGGAGCTCATGGTGGGAGGAGAGGCACAAGGCAGCTGGGGCTGGAAGCTGCTAATGCTCATGCTGCTCTTCCCTAGGTGTCGCAGATGGCTCAGTACTTTGAGCCGCTCATTATGGCGGCTATCGGCGCTGCCTCCAAAACGCCCAACCACCAGCAGCAGATGAACCTCCTGGACCAGACCAAAACGCTGGCCGAGTCCGCCCTGCAGATGCTGTACACGGCCAAGGAGGCTGGTGGGAACCCCAAGGTGAGCCGGAGGGGCACATGTCAGTGGCGTGCTCCCCTTTGCGTGTGGGTGCACATGCGTGTGCCAGACACAGAAACCTGGGATAAATGTGCAGCATCCCTGTCAGGAGGGGAGCCACTGCCCGCCTTCCCTCACTCTGGCTTGTTCTTGCAGCAAGCTGCCCACACCCAGGAGGCTCTGGAGGAGGCCGTACAGATGATGAAGGAAGCAGTGGAGGACCTGACCACCACCCTGAATGAGGCAGCCAGCGCTGCAGGTGTTGTGGGGGGCATGGTGGACTCCATCACCCAGGCCATCAACCAGGTGAGGGGAGCGTGGAGAGGACCTGGCCAGGGCTAGGGGTGGGAGAGAGGAAGAGTCAGGGTCAAACCCTACAAGGTCTTTGTGATGGAGCTGGAGCCAGAGTCTCCTGATGGTCTCTTGCAGCTGGACGAGGGGCCGATGGGTGAGCCAGAGGGGACCTTTGTGGACTACCAGACCACGATGGTGAAGACAGCTAAGGCCATCGCAGTGACTGTGCAGGAGATGGTGGGTGAAAGCAAGCCTGTCACTGCAGAAAGCGCTGCCTGCCACTCAGGCAGGCGACTGCCCTCCTTGCTTGCCTGTCCTAGCGTAGGGCCCCTCCAACTCTGGCTCTTCTTCCATCGGCAGGTCACCAAATCTACCACCAACCCGGACGAGCTGGGCATACTGGCCAACCAACTCACCAACGACTATGGGCAGCTGGCGCAAGAGGCCAAGCCAGCTGCGCTCACCGCCGAGAATGAGGAGGTGCGAGCACGGGGGGGAGTGCTGCAGCATGCCATGGGGCAGAGCAGGGTCTGCTGGGGCATGAGAGCAGAGGGCAGGGACACTCGAACCTCCCGTCGCAGCTGGGGGCAGGCAGCATTCGCACCTCCCCTGTAACACGGTGTGGAAACGTGGAGCAAAGCCGTGTTTCCTTTTTCCTCCTCCTGAGTGGGAGAATTGGGAGAGAGGAGCTGGGTCGGGGCGGCTGGTGTTTCCCAGCGGGTATTAGGGATGCGGGGCTTAGTTGCCTGCCAGCTTTCTCACACATGTATTCCTCTCCAGATCGGCTCCCACATCAAGCGCCGGGTGCAGGAGCTGGGTCATGGCTGCGCTGCCCTGGTCACCAAGGCTGGAGCGCTGCAGTGCAGCCCCAGCGATGCCTACACCAAGAAGGAGCTGATAGAGAGTGCACGCAAGGTTTCTGAGAAGGTGAGCGGCCTGGAGAGAGGGGCAACAGCGTGGCAAGGTGGGAGGGATGCTGGATTGAGCCGTGTGCCCTTGGAGCCTCCACGCTAGGTTCTTCCCTGGTCCTGTTGGGCTCTGCTGGCTCTCTCAGCCATGCTCGCCCTGCCCAGCTGCTGGGGTGGAGGATGGATCCCCCTCTCCAGGCACCGTAACAGCAGCTGGTGCTGTGATGGCTGAGTGTGATGTCCAGGTGCTGCCTGCTGACGTGCCAATGATGGCCTGCCAGAGGAGACTGATCTACACACTGGTGGCAGCCCAGGGCTCTCCAGATCAGTTCTTCCAGTGGTGGGCGTAGTGTTTGCTCCATCTCCAGCCAAGCCTGAAGCTCATGCTGGGTGATCAATCTCCCCTTCATCTTTTGCTGGTGTGGTGGAAAGCGTCCTGTCCATCAGTCAATCTAAAGAACATCTGAATAACAGATGAAAACATGGCTAAAAGCCTCTAGTCAATAAGGCAGTGGTAGAGCAGCAAAGCTAGTAAGCAAGTGTACAACAGCAAAACACTTGTTCATAGTGCCTGGCACATGCCTGCACGCTCAGGACCTCCTGCAGGTCCTTCCTTTCCAAGATTGCTTTCCATCAGGAAATTTGTTCTCCTATGAGTGCTTGCCCAAGTACAGAAATTGAGTTTAGCAGCTAAAGAAGGAACAAGCTGCAATGTTCTGATGCTCATCATGCAAACCTTATTAATTTGGAAACTAGCAGAGTCCAATATCTCCTGGACCCCCAAACACAATAGGTACAGGGTAAAAATAAATAAACAGAAGCTAAGAAGGGGTGTCCAGACCATGCGATTCCCAGTTCCCCTCCTTGGTGTGAAGCGGCTCCATCCTGGGAGGTATCGGAGAATGTGTGTGGTGGAGGTTGCCTGAACCTGCTCTGCTCCCCAGTCACCTTACTTGTACCCTGCAGGTGTCTCACGTGCTGGCAGCCCTGCAGGCTGGGAACCGTGGGACGCAAGCCTGCATCACAGCAGCCAGCGCCGTTTCTGGCATCATTGCTGACCTCGACACCACCATCATGTTTGCCACGGCAGGAACCCTCAACCGGGAGAACTCGGAGACCTTCGCTGACCACAGGTACCCAGGCACCTCGTCCAGCCTCTGCTCAGCCAGAGACGGGGGTCAGACTGTGTCCCCTGGTCTCCCACCTTTCTGAGCTGTGGACCAGCTCCAAGGAGAGCTGCAAATTCAGGTCACACTGACTGTGTTGCCCCTCCAGCTTGTACATACAGAAGGCAGGGTCCACAGCCTCTCTACACCCCGAGGACCATGTGTGCGTGTAGAGGGCTGTGTCCCTTCTGACTCCCTTCTTCTCCCTAGGGAGGGCATCTTGAAAACAGCCAAGGCGCTGGTGGAGGACACCAAGGTGCTGGTGCAGAACGCCACGGCCAGCCAGGAGAAGCTAGCCCAGGCTGCCCAGTCGTCAGTGTCCACTATCACCCGCCTGGCGGAGGTGGTAAAACTGGGTGCCGCGAGCCTGGGATCTGAAGACCCGGAGACTCAGGTGGGTTGGGAGGTGTGGGGTGAACGGAGGTTGCTCATAGCTTGCTTGAAGGGGCTGAGGGTTGAAGGTGTTGTGTGGTGCTCTGGGCTGGACTCTGCGTCTCATGGAGAGGGCTGGCTGGGCTTTGGCTTGTGCTGGCTGCGCTGTATACGTGTATGCTGTGTGCCCTGGGGTGCCCACATTTCCCATTGCTGGGCCACACAGCCTGAGTGTGGCTGTAGCCAAACTGTTGTCCTGGTCTTGCTCTCCCCAGGTAGTCCTGATCAATGCTGTGAAGGATGTGGCCAAGGCACTTGGGGATCTGATCGGTGCCACCAAGGCAGCTGCTGGCAAAGCTGGGGATGACCCTGCTGTCTACCAGCTGAAGAACTCTGCCAAGGTCTGAGCTGGGTGTGAGGGCAACAAGGGGATGGGGCAGGGGAGGCTGGAGAAAGAGCAGGGGGGCTTCTCTGCCTGTCTGGGGGCAGGAGGACAACCAGGGAGCAGTCAGGGCAAGGTGGGGGAGGAAGGGGCACATAAAAGGTGGGGCACAACATGCAGAAGAGGCATTGGTGGGAGGACAAGACGAGGTCGTGTGAGTAGAGTATGGGGACAGGGCCATTTTGGACCAAACCACGAGGGAGGGACAGGTGCCAGCAGCAGCCCAGAGCTTGTGTGGGGCTTCACCTGGCTCCCTTCTCCCTTCCACAGGTGATGGTGACAAATGTCACTTCCTTGCTGAAGACAGTGAAAGCCGTTGAGGATGAGGCCACGAAGGGGACGCGGGCACTGGAGGCCACAATAGAGCACATACGCCAAGAGCTGGCAGTGAGTACAGCCGCGGTGCTGCGGCTGCCGTCCCACTTGCCAGCTGCCCTGTGCCTCACTGCTGCCTCTCACCTCACAGGTCTTCTCCTCCCCCGTGCCTCCTGCCAAAGTCTCCACGCCGGAGGACTTCATCCGTATGACAAAAGGCATCACGATGGCCACGGCCAAAGCGGTGGCCGCTGGCAACTCGTGTCGTCAGGAGGATGTCATCGCTACGGCCAACCTGAGCCGCCGTGCCATCGCAGATATGCTGCGTGCCTGCAAGGTGGGTTGGGCAGGGGACACGGGTCTAGCACGGGTTTGTGGGTGGCTGTGGGTGCCAGCAGGGTGGTGCTGGATGTGAATCGGGGCTTCCCTGTCTCTGGGTTTCAGGAAGCCGCCTACCACCCGGAGGTGAGCGGGGATGTGCGGCAGCGGGCGCTGCGCTTCGGTAAGGAGTGTGCCGATGGCTACCTGGAGCTGCTGGAGCATGTGCTGGTGGTGAGTGTCCCCGTCCCGGTTCCCAGGGTGGGCAGAGGCTGCCCATGGATGCCAGGGTGCTCCCCAGATGCCCAAGGTCCTCTGGGCTCTGCACCTCCTCCCGCTGAGGTCTTTGCACAGCTCCCTTCACTGCCTGGGCCGGCACAGCACGTGGCCGAGCCCCTGCCATGGAAGCAGATGTCAGAGAGATGAACAGGCTCTGACGAAAGATATTTGGCTAACAACAGATGGAGATTAACTGGCCATAAGCAGATAGAAGCTGGAAATTCAACAACAGGGAAGCAAAATACTGAAGCAGCTTCCAGTAAAAGTGGTGGGAGTAAGAGACTTCAGGCAGTGTGAAAACAGAGCTTGTTAAGCTCACAGCAGAGTGGGAGACAGGCAGTGCCCACGATAGCAGAGGTGATGACTGCGAGCACCAGCTGCACCCTTTTTATCCGGTCTTCCTCTATCTCAGTCCTCCTGAGGACTTCAGCTGGCTGCTTTAATTAGCTGTGCTACAAGATGAGTGTACTTTACAAGAAGCAAATTAAGAACACAGAGCAGTAGAAAGGATCCAGTGAGGTCCTTCCAGCGGTTTGCATTCCTGGCGAGATCACAGAGGTGGAGTCAAGGGCACTGGAGGGATGCGCAGACCCAGCCCGCAGAGCTGCGAGAGCCCTCGAACCAGGGTCAGGGCAAAGATTGAGGGCGAGTCAGCTCTGTGGCAAGGTTTTGCTAAGCTGGTTAGAAGGGCTTGGTGAGAGTCTGCCATTCAGGTTCACCAGATACAAGGTGGTGGAGCTCAGACTGTGGTTTCCTGCAGGAAAAGCCCCCTTAGGCAGAGGGTAACCAGCACTGGCAGCACAAAGAGGAGGTGGGCAGGAATCGATGGCTAGAAATTGAAGCCGGGTGGAAGGGAAGTCAAAGGGTGGTTTTAGCCAAAGGAGGTAACCACTGGGGTACAGTTCCACAGGGAGCAGTGAGTTTTCTGTCCCGTGCATCTGGATCAAATGTCTGTCTCGAAGATGCTTTAGCCACACGTAAGTCATGGCAGCCAAGGCTGAAGTGCTGAGGAGAAATTCTCTGGCTGACCTGTTGTTAACAGATGACTTAGTGTGGTAGTGTCCAAGGTCAGCCTACTTGCAGGAACACGCTCTTCTGCTGTATTTTGGGTGTAACCGTCCAGCTGCATGCGACGTCTCTTGAATAGCATACATTGGTACCTCCATAAAATGTTCACTGAAGGTGCATCTTACTAAGCTCATAGCCTCCAGGGTGCCTTTGGCGCCAGACAGAGACCATTTAGCAGTTTTAAACACGTCAGAGCAGATAGCAGGCTTAATAATGTGGCATTTAGTCTGGATGTGCTTATGAGCATGTGTGCCATCAGCTCGGGGACTCCGAGCCATGTGCAGCTCCAGTGACTTTGCTGGGATGGCCCCACGCAAGTCCGAGGATAAAGCCATGACTGCCCCAGCCTCCGCAGCACTCCGGCCTGCAAAGGCAGGAATGAAGGACGTGGGTCACATTTATCAGAGGGCAGCAGGTTCCTGGAAAGCCACGAGCAGGAAGGATGTAGGGGAATGGGGGGGAGATGGCGGATGCGATGCTGCCTCGCTCCCTGGCAGCAGCAAGTCCATTGCCGTACGCTGGGTCCCCACGGGAACCAGTGCTTTGCACAGAGCATGAACAAGCGTGGTTAGGGTTTGAGAAAGAGGGTTATTTGACTCAGGATGGAAAATGTGGCTCCCGGCAGAGGAGTGGGAAAGCCTGCATATTTCACTGGGGAGGGGAAGGAATTTGAACCTCCACAGGGACTTGGTATTTGGTAACAATAGGTCTCTCCTTCCAAAAGCAGAGAGATCTGGTGGCTGAAAACTGAAGGAATTCAGGGTGGGGAGAAATAGGTGTAAAGGGGGGCGAGGAGGAGAGCGGCTCCGTGGCTGCTCTGGGTGTAGGTGGCTCCTCCAGCTGTGGGAGCCTCATCCAGGTGCCCCAGCTCCCCCAGCCCTGCGAGGCTGAGGTATGAGCTAATGTTGGCAGCACGGGAGGTCCCTCCCGGGACCTCTGGTCCTTCATTCCCACCTCTCTTCTTGGCTGTCCTTCACCCCCCACTGGAGAGCACCCACCTTCCCCTGCCCTCCCCATGCCCCCCCGTCTCCAGCACCTGCGTGTTCCAGCCGGGGCGTTCACTGCTTTCTTCTCTCTCTTCTCCCTCCCTCCCTGTCAGCCGGTGAGTAAGGTGACATTGGGGTGCCTGCTGGTGTCTAACCTCAGCATGAACCTTGCTCACGGCGTGTCTGCGTGCCCAGCCCAGTGCTGGGGTGGCACTTGCGTGTGTCCACAGGGACCCCGGGGTCCGTGTGTGTGCATATGTACTCACACCCGCTCTAGCTGATGGGCAGCTGTCTCCTGTGCAGTGTGAGTCGGGCCAGCGGTGAGCTCTGCTTGTGCGTACAGACCCTGCGTGTGTGCACACGTGTGTGCTGTGGTGTGTGCATGTGTCCCTCCCCACCCCAGTGAAGGACCCTTATGGCTCTGCCTGCCACATTGTCGTGCCGGGGCCAGCCCTCCCGGGCTGGGACGTGGCTCTAGGGTCCCCCTCTTTGCCCGGCTTGTGTTTGCAGACAAATCTCCAAAATGGAGACGGTGAGGGGGAAATGCTTCTGGAGCTTGAAATGCTTGGGAGGGGTGGGGGGAAGAAGTCCTGGAGGGGGTAGCTGCTGAGTGCAGGAAGGCTTGCACTGAAGGTCTTGTGTCTGCAAGATGTCCCAGAAGCTGTGGATGCAGAAGGGCTAAGGGGAAGCTCATCCCATCCTCAGGCAGCAGGAGACCAGCCAGGGTCACTTGAGAGAGCATCACAGATAACACCTGATGTGTACATGTGTGGGGGAGATGGGGGATCCCACCCTCCTTCCTGGGGGAGCACAACCCAAACAGACCTATGAGGTCCCCCTTTTCCAGGTACTTACATCTGCTCCTTCCCCGCAGATCCTGCAGAAGCCGACTCACGAGCTGAAGCAGCAGCTGGCAGGCTACTCCAAGCGCGTAGCCAGCTCTGTCACTGAGCTCATCCAGGCAGCCGAGGCCATGAAAGGTAAGGAAAGGTCCTGCTCAAAGGGACAGGACCGAGGGCTGGGATTAGGGTGGAGGGCTCAGCAGCTGATGGAGGAGGTAGGGCGAGTCAGGCACGCAGGTTTAACCTGCCTCGCTTCTCGGTTTTTCTAGGGACAGAGTGGGTTGACCCAGAAGACCCCACTGTCATCGCTGAGAATGAGCTGCTGGGGGCAGCGGCTGCCATCGAGGCTGAAGCCAAGAAGCTGGAGCAGCTCAAACCAAGAGCCAAGCCCAAGGTAGTGGTGCTGAGCCTTGGCTGAGCCCCATGCTCAGCTTGGGGTGGGCTGGGGCTCTCCTGCCTGTGCTTCAGGCAGGTATGAAGCCCCATCCAACAGCCGGACTCTATTGCTGCGCTCCCGCTGCCTCCCACATCCCCAGCTGGACCTTCCTCAGGCAACCCACACCCTCCTGCACCCCACAGCCCTTAATCCAGCTTTATATGTGCCCCCTCAGCCCCTGCAGCCATCATCCTGCTCTGCTCTGTCTATCCCAGCACCCCTCCCTGCCTGGGACTGACACCCTGCTTTTGCCCACAGCAAGCAGATGAGAGCCTGAACTTTGAGGAGCAGATCCTGGAAGCTGCCAAATCCATTGCTGCAGCCACGAGCGCCCTGGTGAAGGCAGCCTCAGCGGCCCAGCGAGAACTAGTGGCCCAAGGAAAGGTAAGACTGGAAGAGGGAAAGAAATAAGAAAATGTAGTTCTCCCTTCTCCCGGGGCTGCTTGTAGCCCTCGTGCCCCGTGGCAAGAGGTGCGCGGGGCAGTGAGCCTCACTCCTCTTCTCCTTCCTCACAGGTGGGCGCCATCCCCGCCAATGCAGTGGATGATGGACAGTGGTCCCAGGGACTCATTTCAGCCGTGAGTGTCAGGGTCATGCTCAGGGGGATAGGGGGGACCCTCCTCTTGGCTCCTGCTGCAAAGATGAGGATGCTCTGCCCTTGCACTTCTCCTTGGTGGAAGAAGCAGCCATGCTTCTTGCTCCCTCTCCCACCAGCTGAGACATGCCGTGGAAGCTGGTTGTTGCCATCCTGTGCCCCACAACCCCCCTGGGGCCGGTCAGGGCATACCCTCCGGGTATGGGGGAGGCTCCCGTACCCCCCCTGACAGCCTCTCTCGCCGCAGGCACGCATGGTGGCTGCCGCCACCAACCACCCGT